AAAAAAAAAAAAAAAAAAAAAAAAATGGCGTTGGTTTAGTTTTCTTCCCCATATCAGCATAAGAAAAATGAGAACTTTCCTTAACTGCCCACTATGACGCTTTGGAATGTCTGCTTTGTTAACAGTATGGCAACAGCATCTTTACAGGTACGTTTTTTCCATATTTAACACATCATTAAGATACAATTTTTTAAAGGGGATCACTTGATTATAGCCTGTATTTTTGTAGTTCTTGATGTGCCATCACGCCTGGCATCTTGCTTGTAACTTCTTAAAGTCCTCCACAGGATGAGAAACTACGTCTCAGAGACTGGGAACCACCTTCCAAACCACACACGAGCCAGTGGAAGAACTGGACTGGGTCTCAGGACTCTTTGTGTTCATTTTGGGCCTAAAAATACCTTGCACACTAAAAGTTATCACTATGCCTAAAAATGAACTGATTTGAGCTAAAATCTTTTCCCCTCAGCGTTATTAGTATTCCAGAGACATACACGCACACACAGGTTATCTGCCCCTGAAGAAGTACAGTACTGCCTTAGTAACCCTTTGTCCCAATTCCTTTCATTAATAATTGAACATTTATTTACATGTCAGAAATGATTTGCATATAAAGACACCAAAATTAAAGAAACAGGTTTAAAACAAAATGTCTTTTATTTGAATACTGGCTACATCCTGCCGAGATGCAGAATGTGCTGAGAATGAAATTCTTCTAAGGAGAGAGCCAAAACAGGCAGCACGTACAATTAAGATGGGAAAAATAAAATTTCTAATATAACACAAGCACCAAGTAGCCACATTAGCATTCTGTGAAGTTCATGTAAGGAATTCCTTCATCAGATAATTTGCAGCTTCACGTATTTGAGTCACGAGCATTTGGAATTGCCAAAAATGTAATATATATAGCTAGACATAGAGACATGTATTAAGCCACACCAAATGCAAGTGTATCATGTTTATTAAACACCTGTAATGAAAACAGTGCTTGACAATTAAAATTCTTTGTTTAAAAAAAAAAAAACTCATGTTCAGATTAGAGGTGATAGTGTTACCTTTGTTTCTAACATAAAACACTGATCAATCTGTATTGGAATTTATCCTTTAAGGTACGAAGGACATGCTCCGCCCGCTGTCACAGGATGACAGGTACTTGCAGCGCAGCTCCTCTGGGTGCTCAGAGCAGCAGCAGGACGAGTCTTAGGATCATCAAGAGGCTGCATGAAAATAAACGAAGGGCGAAGGGTCACACAGGACAAAGAGCCGTAACCAGCCATGGCTTCTGTGCCTCTCCTCCCTCCACTCTCCCAGCAGGAGGGACCTCACCCTCCCTGAACTCCAACTGCCCAGACCCAACTGAAAAAGGTTAACGGAACGAATGAGAGAAATCAGAACTCTCTGTTCCGGAAACCTGGGATGAGGACTTTTGACAGGAGTGTTTGGGAAGAAACACCAACTTTCAAAAGCTTGTCAGGCAAAGCAACTGGAAAAGAAGAACCAGGGTGCCGGGCGTGGTGGGGTTTACCAGTAATCCCAGCACACGGGAAGAGTGAGGCAGAACGACCTCAAGTCTGAGCTCAGGCTGGACAACTTAGTGACTTAGTACGACCTCATCTCAAAAATAAAACTTTTAAGTGGCGAGGGGGCTGGACATGCAGCTCAATGCAAAGTCCCTGGGTTTAAGTCTGAGTACCACTGTAAATAAATAAATATCCAGGAACAACTGGGGGCTCAAAGGAAGGTTATTATTGCAGTTCCAACTACTTTCCTCTGCCTGCGGCCTTCTTAGTCAATCAACCACACTTCCAAGTTTTCCCAGCACCAAGCATCATTTTCAGAACTGCAAAGCTGCGCTTCATAATCACACTGTCCCCTCGCTACAGACACAACACACAGCCACAGAGAAACTCTGAGAAATTCTACAGAGCAGCAGAAAAAACATTAAAATTATTCATCACGCCACAACCCAGAGAAAAAAACACTAAGTTCAAAGTATTTCCTTTTTATCTTGTTTTACACACATTTTACTTATTTATTTATTTATTCATTCATTCATTCATTCATTCATTCATTCTTTTGAGACAGTGTCTCCCCGTGTGGTTCACACAGCCTTGAACTCGCTAAGCAGCACAGGCTGGCCTTCAACTTGCAGCGATCCTCCTGCCTCCGGCCCCCCGGTGCTGGAAGGACAGGTGGGTGCCCCCATGCCTGGGCTATGCACACATTTTTAGAAAACTATTTACACTGCCTTTGGTAGGTCTTAATTCTGTCTTATTTATCATTATGAGATTAAGATTTTCTAATACCTCTGAGCAGTTTCTGAACACATGGAATGCAAATACCTGCTCAGTGTCTCATTAAATGGACAAAACATTCACTGAAATTTATTGAAAATATTTACTCAGCTGGGCGTGGTGGCGCACGCCTGTAATCTCAGTACTTGGGAGGCTGAGGCAGGAGAATCACTGCGAGTTCGAGACCAGCCTGGGCTGTAAAGTGAGCTCATGGCCAGCCTGAACTGCACAATGAGACCCTGTCTCAAAAAGAAAAAAGAAAAAAAAAAAAATTTACGAACCACTTCCTTACAGTGAATCTGTAGGATGTTCCTAATTTTTCAGTTTATGTTTCCATTCAAAATAAAGCTGCAACGAATATCAGCCTTTATGTACATATCATTTCTTTGAAAAAATTCCCAAAAGTAAAAATGTGTATCAAAGAAAACAAACAAGTTTATGGTTTTCAACATATAAAGACAGTTTCCAGGAACAATTAAAAATATTATCTCCAACTTTAAATTTGATAATATTCTTATGGATGGAATTACTGGGTCAAATTAAGAGAAACTTGATGTTATTTATCTTTTTAAACAGCATTAAATTTTTCTCCCTTAAAAACTCAAAAGTAATTGCATCAGAATGCCACTGTCCAACACTCTAAATGAGACTTATGAACATATTTATTCCTGTAGGTGAGTTAATTTTAAGGAAAAATGAGGCTAAACGTAGCTCTTTATTCTGAAGAAGGTATGCATGGACAGGAAGTCTGATACAGCAGCGATGCCCTCTGTCCCATAAGGGCTCCACGCGCACACACAGACTCACTGATCCCTGATATAAATCTTTACAGCCATGAGTATTATAATAAAAAATTACTTTGACCTTTCAAATCAAAATTAATTTTTTACTTAAAAAAGTCAGTATTTCAAAACGATAGACATATAGATCAAAGAGTTCTTCTTACCTTAAACCTGCAACCAGCCCGGCGGGCATTATCTTCTTGGATCTCTTAAATCTCACGCCCATGATGGTGGCCAGGAAGAAAGCTGTAACTGAAAGCCAAGCCAGCCATGAACCCGGGCTTCCCGTTACCAGTCCTTGCTTGTGAAATGAACGCACATCATTTCAAAGCTTTCAATATAATGCTTTTAGATAGTACCGAGTTGCTGTTTTCTTGAAGAAATAAAGCACTGCATTAAAACAGTTTGCAAACTAGCCTGTTAAAAAGTTTCTGAGTAAACACACATGCTAAAATCCACTCAACCTGAAATATCTTCAAAAGTCTGTTTCCTACCCTTGACCTCTGCTCATAGAAGCCTCCCGGAAGGCTAGACCCATGTCTCACGTAACTTTCCTTGGAAACACGAGGTGGTATGCTTGGACAGCAAGAAGCACCCAGGAAATGGTGAAGTGGACGCAACGGCCCATGTGTGTAACCCCAGCACTCTGGGAGGCTGAGGCAACAGGATCTTGAGCTTGAGCCCAGCCCAGCAACCTAATGATTTAGCAAGACCGTCTCTAGGCCAGTGTTCTCTCTTGCACGGTGGGCCACCCTTGTGCTGCAGGGTGCACCACTTCTCCTACTTTAACCTGGCCTAAACTTGCTCTGCAGAGCCTGTTTCTTTCCTTACCTTTAATAAAACTTTGCTACCATTAAGAAAAAAAAAAAAAAAAAAAGACTGTAATAAAAATAAAAAGGCCCTGTGTCCATTCTAGTACCACAAAAAAAAAAAAGAAACTCAATGTAAGTAAAATGACATTTTTAAGAAGTGAGATCAGATTATAAAATAATGTCAAGAAGGCTGTACTTGCTGTGTAACTTTCCATTCTGAGGGATCTGAGGTCTGGAGACTAACAGTGCTATTCAGAGGTACCGCATGAGCCTTCTACGAACCACACCCATGGGACTGCGGGGGTGTTTTATGCAAGAGATTAGGGCAGTGATGGCAACACTTTGAGATGAGGGCCTGAACTGCAACCCAGAACCCACCTACTTATTGAAAAGCACCAACACTGCAATCAAACCTGAATACTGAGGTTTCAGTTTAGGAAAAACAACTCATATGTTATCATCTTTTGTCTTAAAAGAAAAACAATTAACACGCATGCTATAGGTTCACCACCACGGGATCAGGACGCTAATGCCAATGAAAGAACAAGGTGACGGTTCGTATCTGGATATGCTCATAGGTGGGCTCTGGGGAAGTGACGGGGTCGTGGGCATGTTTTACAGTGACATGTGATTTGGGAGCGAAGCTGCGCGGGGTGGTCGGTCACTGCAGTGTGGGCTGGAAGGGCCGATCTCCTTCCCTCACCCCTAGATCTCTGCTTCCTGCCGCCACGTCCTGAGGAATTCTCCCCTGCCTCGCCGCCCTGCCTTGGAGCCAGCCAGCTATGGACTGAAACCTCCACAAACTGGGACCCAAAATCAACCTTTCCTTTTTTAAATTGTGGGCGTTCAGTACTGTGTCTCAGCGATAGGAGAACTCAGACAAAACAGCTTTCAAAGAAAAACCACTTCTTGATACAAAAAATAACACTATAGACGATAAACATACGTAAACTACTTAAACACACGTCAACGAAATGCCCAACGTATTTATATCTCGCTGATATGGTTTATCTTCTGACATAATCTCATTCAAAATAGCCCTAACCTATATTTAAAATAAAGGAGGAAAATAAGGAAGGAAAAACCCCACCAGATCGCTTTGTCCCCCTCAAATATAAAACAGGTAAAATTTTGTGTTCATTTGAATTTTCCCCATATCCCACCACAGGATTTTGAATAAGAATTAAATAACTGCATTTCACTTTCCAGCTAGACAAAAAAGAAAGGCGTGTATGCTGTGGGTTTAAACACACAGGTTTCCGTTCTTTCCTTCTGTGGACATTCTCTTACTGACCACAGCAGAGGAAAAGCTAAATGCGTGAGCCCTGCTATTGTCAAGTATCTTTGGGCAAAGCAGATGCTAGAAGGTGTTCGTGATTCAATCACATAATATAATACTGTCTCTCTTTAGACACTGTATTTTCTTGTCAATGTAAAAACTATGCTAAATGTACATTTATAACAACAAGCGGAAATCCAAAAACACTTCCTTGTTTTTTCTAATTTAATTCCATTTGTCTAGTAACAAGTTTTATAGAAACTTCAGCTGGAAGGCATGGTAGCAGTACTATTATTTTTTATCAGTTCTGTCTAGCAAGAAACAAGAGTGGTACAACGCACATGGCCACTTAACATCCAACAGCATGTTTTCTCAGGGTTCAATTCTCTGTAAGTGGGGAAAATGTGTTACTTACACAGTGACACTTTAATATCTCGTTTGTCATTGGATACCCGGTAAGCTCCATAGCCAGCAGAAAGTCCAGCCAAAAGACCAGCAATCAGAGATGGAACGCTACCTGGGGGGAGAAAGTACGAGCTCATAAAGACAGGCCCAACACAAAGGCAATTAATTCACGCCATGCTTCAAGTATAACACGCGCACCTTCAAATGTATTTCTAGTTAGCTGGGCATCAGAACCGAACAACGCCAAATTAAGGCTGGGCCTCTTCACAGATAGTGTCTAAGAAATGGCTGTTTCCTGTTGAACCCCAAACGCAAAGCAGGGGAACTGTCAGCCAGCGCACCGCAGCGCCGGGGCAGAAATCACAGTGGGGCGGGAGAGACCCTGCCTTGTGACGGCGGCTTTGGCACTGCGTCATCAGTTGACTTCTTTGGTGCTACTCTGCTCCTCTTCACTTTGGCCTAGTCTTTTCACTAGGGGGGTGGGACGAGGTCACAAGGGACCCAGTGGTCCTGGGAGCTCACAGTGGTGACAGGGATGCACCACACGAAGCGCGGACTGCTTCGGTGCTGTACGATTAACACATCTTCAGGCCTCAAGAGGCCAGGACTCACGGCCCGCAAGGGACTATCGAGAGAAGGGCTGGTCCCACACACGCCGCAGCCAGCCAGCCCCAAGCCACCTACCCTCGACACACACACACACGAAGCAGTGCCTGGACTGCGAGTGACACAGCCAGTGACATGACACAGAATCATCTTATTTAAACCCTGTTAGATCAGAATCCCCGAGGGCAGGAGCAAGGTATCTTTATCTTTTTACTAGCATAGGCAATTCAGACGGCCAGCCAGGTTTAAGAACTGTTACAGTCCATGCACACACACGTTTGTACACACATGCACACAGCCTTCCTCATATCCTTCAGAAAGGTAGACAAAAGTATCTAGTTATTCTTTCCCGTTCTGTAATAGAAGCTATTCAGATACGTCTTCAACAAAAAATACTTTTCAATAATAATCTTAGCAGGACTTTAAACTGAGTCCTTAAAGCAGGTTACGGAACACCCTCTTGTGAGTATCTACAGGTCTTCCTGGGGCACCGTCCTCGTCCGTCCTTCAGACGCATAGAACTCCACTCGGAAGGCCAAGGTGAATGACAAGCAGCAGCAGGGACCCTAGGAACAACCCGTTCGAAAACGGCAGCCCCTCGGCTGCGAGAGCACTGTGCTTCTGGCCCCTGGCTTCCAACCCTCTCTAAGGAAGGAGGTTAACTTGTGGCTGGGTAAAACTCGCTTTTTCACTCAAATTCAAATTCACCAGTGTCACAAAAGTAAAACACTCACTGAAATAATCTTTTCAAAAAATTTCACTAAAATATAAGAAACAGAAACATGAGATATCATGACTTATAAAGGCATCTACCTTAAAACAAAGCAAAGCAGAAAATCTTGACCTTGCTTTATTTTCCACAAAAACTTTCAGTAGTCAAACAGGGTTTTCCCTTCTTTTGAATAGAGACAACCTGGATATAGTATGTAAGTGCTGCACTGACCCACAGGGTCATCCACAGGGATCATCTTATTTAAACCCTGTTAGATCAGAATCTCTGAGGGCAGGAGCAAGGTATCTTTTATCTTTTTACTAGCATAGGGAATTCAGAAAGGCCGGCAAAAGTATCTAGTTATTCTTTCCTGTTCTGTAATAGAAGCTATTTAGATACTAACTGAGTACCAGTATAACTCAGTACTTTTACACGTTATGTAAACAAAAGCGCTTACTTAATAATGACTGGTCCAGAAGTTTTAATCAGTTAATTATGCAACTCATAACTGCAGGTTAGTGTACAGCAGACAGAGGCCCGGAAGCCCCAGGTGGGCGGCTCTGTCCTGCTCACCCGTGTGGCCCCTCCCCCACAAGTCCTGCCCATGACAAGCGTGTCTCCGGCCCTCTCCCAGGCATCTCTGGCTTCTTGTCCTACTTACAGCCCTCCGCGGATCTAGCGCGCCTGCCAGCTCCCCATGGGTCCCCTGGTCAGAATTCCGCTTCAGGCTTACCTCTCCGCTTATACCCTAAAATGCCTCCAAACATCACAAGGGCCGCATAACCGAAGCCGATCAGGTCCATTGGTGAGGCCGCAGCTCTAGAGCAGGAGGACAGGGACAAACACACAGAATAAAAGCAGTGCAGGTAAGAGTGACAGGCATCCCACAGAATCGCAGGATTACCTCCCCAGCCCACTACCGAGAGGCCCAACACGGGCCCCCTGCCCCCCCCCGCCCTCCCCCACACAGGCTCACCAGCCAGGCTGCCAGGCTTTCGGTCCTTGCAGCGACGAGCAAGGGACAACTCAGAACAGAGAGAAGGTGGCGAGCTCACCTCAGGCTCTACACTTGATCTGGGCCAAAATGCCGAGAAGCGATAAGCATTTGCTCACGCCCACATGATACAGATGTAGTTTGTTTTTTTTTTGTAGTAAGGTTTTTTTTTTGTACCGGGAATTGAACTCTGGACCTTGCGCTTGCCAGGCAGGTTATGTGCCGCTGAGCCCTTCACCTCAGGCTCCCCCCGGGCTGGCTGCGCCTCCTCCCCCGACCCTGGGCCCCAACACTACCATCTTCGCGATGCACCTCCAGCCTGCAGCGTCCCCCGCTCCCCCCACAGCCCCACTGCCCTCTGCACCCCTGCCCTCCAACGCCTGCCCCGACCTCTGCCCTTCGCAGCACTCCAGCCCGCTCCAGCACACTAGTCTGGAGCAAAAGGCTTCTTCCTCCTCTGAATTCCCCGCCTTCTGCCACTCCCTCTTCTCATTCTGGCATCTTTGTGCAGGCACTCATCCCTCCACCTCTCCTCCCTGGAGAGCAGAAAAGGGGCAGTGTGGCCCTTCCGCGGTCAAAGCAACGATTCACCCCACATCCGCTTTGTCATCCGCTCCCCCGCAGTGCCTCCTCCGTGGTGACCCAGACGCCACTCGATGGCAAATCACCAGAAGACACACCAAGTCCTGCCAACGAGTTCACTGAATAACAGTGAGTCCTGCTGCGTGTCTGCCTCAGCAGTGGGCTAAAGAGCACAGTATGCTCCAGCCCGGACCCTAAGACGCAGCAGGAGTGTGCTGGCCGAGGGCCGCAGAGGCACACGCTGGCTCCTGCTCCTCAGCCGCGCCCTTCCTGACACGCGTCCCTCCAAGGTGAGGAAAACAGATGAGTGTAAAGTTCCTCGAGGGCAGCCAGGCCTGGTGGCGCACGCCTGCAATCCCAGCACTCAAGAAGCGGAGGCAGGAGGATCACTGCAAGTTCGAGGCCAGCCTGAACTGCACAGTGAAACCCTATCTCCAAAAGACAAAAAAAATAAAAAATAAAGTTCCCTGAGGCTTTTTTGTCTTTTTGAGACAGGGTCTTACCTTGCAGCTCAGGTTGGCCTTGAACTCACTACATAGGTCAAGCTGGCCTGGAACTTGTGGCAGACCTCCTGCTTCAGCCTCCCAAGTGCTGGAATTACAAGTGTGCACCACCACCTTAGTTCTTACATCTCCGCTTCCTCCATGGGAAAATCACCTTTGTAAACATGAGGAACGGTGTGTGAGATTTCTTGTGTATTCTTTCAGTTTTCTCAGTGCCTATCAGTTAGGTGATCCAGGATTCTACTCCCTGCGGTAACTAGTAATGACCTAACACAGAAGAACAGCAAGGAGGTGCTGGGCTCACCTCAGAGTAGGGAAACTTCCTGTGAGGAAGGGTCTGAGGAGGACAATCTGAGGACAGGAGGAACACAGGAGAGCTCACCTGGACCCAAGACGTGGCAACGACAGACCTAAAGTGTAGGAAGGACCCGGATCCCACAGCACGTACTGGATGACGCATAAACAGGTAGTTGTGACAATGTGAGCAACCACCAGGAGACAGGCCACATTCTGAGGCCTTACCTGTAACATCTTGCAACCACTACCTCACGACACTGTACAATAAGTGCTGCCTTTTTAATCTCTTTTCAGGTGATGAAACTGAGGCTCAGAGAAGGCAGGCAATGCTCCAAAGTCACACAGCACGGCCAAGATTTAAGATGAAGGCAAGCCTCACATGCTCTTGCTGCTCCAATAATAACAGTGACCTTCTCTTTCACCAATATTTAGGCCTGATGTAGGTCAGGCCACTTCTGTTTCCGCACACCGAGAAGAGAGAGGCAGTGTGAATTTGTGAGTCGGGCGTGCAGTGAATCACACCATATCACGACCGATGTTTACACTGACTGTCATTCAGTGGCATTTGTCAGTGCAGTAAAAAGCCAAGAAAAGCCCTCAGACCCGGCCTTGGTCTTGCAGAACCTGGGCACGGCACAGTAGCAGGAGGAGGCGGATGCTGAGTGAGCCTCCTGAGATGCCCGCGGAAGGGCGCCCAGGGAAGCAGGGTCCCGGCTGTGCCCTCAGGGGAAGCAGGGCTAAGAGTGAAGCCAGCTGCCAGGAAGAAGCAACGTGCACTCGGCCTCCTGGCACGAGAAAGCAGGGCGCGTTCTCAAGACGAAAACAGATCCAGCGAGGCCACGCAGAGAGGGCCAGGCGAGAAGCACACGGGCGGCGCACTCGGGTGAGCCCGCAGCAGCCTGGCTTCCGTCCTGAGGGCAGTGGGACCCGGGAGGTGAGCGCCACACTCAGACTTAGATTCCAGCAAGCGCAGCCCGGCACGGCGGGAGCCGGCGGCCGTGGACTGGGCAGGGGCGCGGCTGAAACCCGCGCGCTGGCCGGGAGGGTGGAACGGGGCGGGTGAACTCGGGGCTTCAGGAGCGAGAATCAAAAGGCCTAGAAGTGGTGATTGAGGGGTGGGGACAAATCCGAAAGGACACAGCCCTCGGCCTCTGGCTTGGCAGGGCCCTTAGGGGGGGGACAGCCCTGACCCTGAGAACGCCGGGCAGAGGCAGGTGTGTGGCGGACGGAGAGGCGGCCAGGACCGACAGGACGCACCTGGCAGTCAGGAAAACACCCTTCCTCACGGGTCGGGCGCTCGCCAGCCCTCTCCGGACAGCGAGAGAACGAAGGGCAGACTTCCCGCCACGCACCGAGTGACAGTGACGCCCCACACGGACACAGTCCCTCCGCCTGGGGCAGGGCGACCACGCCGGGCTCTCCCCGCCCCGCCTCGGCCCGCC